AAAGTCAAAATTAAATGGCCTGATTGAATTGGCTAGTTTTAGAAAGGCTTTTAAAGAGTATTTGAAATAGGAGTTCAAATGCTGCTCTGTTTGAAAGATATTTTTAGAACGTTTTATCTTAACTGAAATTAAGAAAAGCTTTAAGAAATTTAGTGATTCACTTATTTGAAATTATTGTTACAAATTATGAAAGTATTCTTTCTTATATTAAAAAAAAAAAAATGTTCCGCAAATTTTAAGAAACCCCAGTAAGTACAAGTTAAAAAGTTAGTAACAGTGGCGGCCTCAAAGGAGGGTCGTCACAATAACCAAGTCCATGACGATCACAACTTGCTTTTCCTATAGAGAGAATATGATCCAATTTGGTGGTGCTAGAATTCATCATCTTCAAATTTTTTTTTCGTGCTCTCCAGTTCAGCCCTTGTTTCCTACAATTTCTTTTCTCTCTCTGCTGCAAGCAATTCATAATTATCAGCAACTCTCTTCAACACATAATTCTCTTTGACAAGATCATCGACGCGCTCCCGTAGAGACTTATTTATATCATACACTTTAACCCATTTGTTGAACATGGTCTTATAGGATCCTTGTATGGCATTAATAGTCAACTCCTCACCATCACTGTTACTTTCAGAATCTGAAAAATCTCCTTTATTTTCACTGTTTACGGAATCTATTACAAGATTTGTTGTAACACTGTCTGCGACACCTTTTGTAACACTATCTGCAGAAACGTCCATATCAGCAGAAACGTCCATAGCAACATAGTTGCTCACATGTTCGTCATCTTTCTGACTGCCTTCTAACTCTTCATCACTCCAAGTTGCATTAAATGACTTCTTCTTCTTCTTGAGGGTATTGGCGCATTCGGATTGAATATGTCTATATCCATCGCACTCTCAGCATTGAATACCTCTATTTTTTGTCTTGAATTCTGTGCTATTTGCTACAGTTTTACTCTTTTGAAAATTACTGGAGTTGCCATTTCTTAAATTCTCATTCTTCCTATTGACCTTTTTCATCATCTTGTTGAATTTCTTCGACAACCTTGTTATGGACTGGGCCAAGTCTTCTTCAGCATCAGAATCAACTTCGGCTTGAAAGGCAATGCTTTTCTCCTTCTTTCCTTCCTTGTTTTCATCCAGATTCATCTCAAAAGTACACAAAGAACCCATTAGCTCATCAAGTTTCATTGTTTGGACATCCTTGGCTTTCTCGATAGTTGTCACCTTGTAAGCAAACCTCTGTGGAAGTGACCTCAAGGCCTTCCTCACAAGCTTCTCCTCTGATATTTTCTCTCTAATGGAAAATGCCTCATTAGCAATATCACACAATTTTGAATTAAACTCATAAATTGTTTCATCTTCTTGCATTCGAAGATTCTCAAACCTTGTAGTAAGGATTTGAAGTTTAAAGAGTCTCACGGCAGCCGTATTTTTATGTGCCGTTTGCAATGTCTCCCATGCATCCTTAGTTGTTTTACACATTGAAATGAGCTTGAATTGGTTCGCATCTATCCCGTTGAAGATAGCATTCAACACTTTAGAATTGTTGTTCGCCAACTTGTCCTCTTCGGTTGACCAAGTAGTTTCGGGCTTCAATATCTCATTCCCTTCAGAATCCTTTGTAATTGGATGCTCCCAACCAGTCAAGACAGCTCTCCATGCCTTTTCATCAATAGGTTTGATGAACGCCTTCATACGTGCTTTCCAATAAGAGTAGTTTGAACCGTCTAGGAATGGAGGACGAGAAACTGAACCGCCTTCTTTCAAAAAATCCATACTTGTTGTAGCAGACCAATTCCCAAAATCTCACCAAGCAAATGGTTTGCGAACCGCTGGACCCGCTCCGATAGAAAAAACTTTGGTAGCCAATTTGATGGTCATGATAGTACTAACATTTTATGTAAATGACGATAGAGGGCAACTGATGAAATCAAAGAAAACTAACACGTTCGAACTAAATTGGCAAATAGTCCAGCACTCGCCTAAACCAATTTTATTCACTCACTATTATTAAATAAAAAGAAAAAAGTACAAGAATTTAAAAAAAAATTAACAACACACGACATATATAATTCGTATAAAGACAGAAGAAACTCTCGAGGATTCATCTCGGCAATCCTATCCGTTGAGACCTCAGAAGAGATCAGCAGGGCAACAGCAAATGCAAGAGCAAGAAGGGGAAAAGCATTTGAGTAAGCCTTTTTTTTTTCCCTATAAGAAAACTCAGCAAAGAAGACAATATTGGAATGAAATGTAAGACCAGTAAAGAAGATAGTTTGCCAAGTGAAAGATGATTGAACCTATTGTGCCTCTCCCTATTTATAGAACACTGAGACAAGGAAATTGAATTCTTTATAATTCACACAGACGATATTTGAGAGGTAAGGATTATTGGCCGAAGTTTTTATTCAACATTCCGACTATGTAAGGGCATGTATAGTTTGCTGATTCGAATTGAGATGTAATTTTATGTGAGAGTTTTTTACTGTAGTAAAAAAGTTAGATGTGACTGTTTTTTAGAACTTTTTACTATAACAAAACTCGAATTGGTAAAATGAACGGGGTCTAAATGTGTTCTTTTATATTTTTTACCCCCCCTATTCATTGGCCATATGTACGTAATTATTCAAGTTTGGTTGAATCCTTCTCCAACAAACAAGTCTCGACTCTTTACTCCCTTTAAGAGGGTTTTTGTGTGTGTGTGTGTGTGTGTGTCTAAAGAGTTAAAGCATGGGAGATGTGGATTATTGGCCGGCGGCAGTCTTTTACCTACACTCCCTATCAGGTTTTGGCTCGTGGATCCTCTAATTTTCTGTGCACTTTTTCTTGAAAAAAAAACAAAAAAACAAAAGGAGAAAGGGTGTGTTGTTTTGTAATGTTTTTTATCCAGAAAAAAGGAAAGAAAAGAAGAGAAAGTTCTTAATTTTTTTTTTTTTTTTTAAATACACATTTGGTAATCTTCTTGTCGTTTTTTGTTCTTTCAATTGTTGGGCAGGTAGGCATTAGATCAAGATTGGTGCCAGGCCAAGGACCAATTTGGAGATCAGATTAAAGACTCATATTGCTACTTTTTTTTTTACTAAAAGAACCAACTGACATTAATTAAAGCTAAAGAATTCCAATCAGATTGGCATCCCTCCCCCAATTCAATTTATTTTTTAAAAAAAAAATGAAGAAAAACAATACAAAAGACGTTCAAATGAAGAGAAACAATCAAACAATAAAAGGACCTCATTACTAGCAGAAACTAATACTGAAATGTTAAACCAAAACTATACCGTTGAAAAAACAACTCCTATAATATACCTCCTTAGAAACCTTATTAGAAAATCCCATAAGAAAAATTCTACAAAGAAAAAAAAAAGGTGTATACGAGAAATGAAAGAAAAAAGTCCCCGGAAAGAACTAAAAACTGCCTCGAAAAACCGAAAAGACCCATCTTGAGAAACTTCAACTATTCTGATGGTAATAAGGGAGAGGAGAGACATGCATATTGTCTTTGTCTACCAACTGAGATAAGCAATCTAGCTTATGAGGCAAGCTTGTTTGCACACTAGACCCTTCTCAAAAATGGTGAGAAACACAGACATTTATTCAAGTTCTCAACTCGAGTTATAAAAAAGAACATGCTCACACAGCTAAACTTAGCGCCCTAATCCATCTATTTCGAAATTACCAAGGAACAATTTCATACTAACGTTTTGTTATAGATAATAATTATAATTAATTGATTAATAATTACATGTAATCAATAATTAAAATCTGAATAATCAATCTCTCCAACCCCTTAGCCTTTCTCATTATCTTCTTTCCACATGTCATATTGGGTTTAGGCGCTATCTTGAATATTTGATCTTTTCTTAAGTGCTACACTGACGTGGAATTTTTAATTAAATAAGATCTTGACATATGTGGCATGATGGTGCTCTTTTTAGAGTGATCAATTTTGTATTGGATGGATCGAGCCGCTCATTTAAACTTGATTGATCAATTTTGTATTTGATATTGATTGATTTTTAATTTTTTTTTTCTGTTTCTTTGCCGTGATCATGCACAGTTGGTCCTCTTTCCTTATTAATTAGGACAGTTCAGTATAATCACACGGTACGAATGATATCAGCAAGATTAAAATCCATTTAGAGCATTATGCACTTAGACTGTGAGACTCGCATTTCAACCGGAACAATTTCAATGTTCAACTTAAAATAAAATAACAAAGTTTTATTAAAAAGTAGAAACTTCAATATTCACATTTAAATATATTTGGACCTTAATTTTGGTTTCACTTCAAAATCTTACCAGGCATAAGCAGATGGGGGTGATATGAACAGATCATGAATTCGGTCAATGGTTTTTCTTCTAAACTCTGAATTTTGTATCTCTATAAATATAATCTGATAGGTTAGAAGTACAAATCTCAAACAAGCTAAAAGAGAACTAGCTTTTGCTCAAACAATCTCCACTAATTATTCTCATAAGAGGGAAAAAAACAAAAACAAAAACAAAAAAGCTCATAGTAGTTATTGCATGACAAATGTGAAAGTACTACAGAAACATTCATCTCTCAGTACGTCACTAAGTCACTATATATCGGTACAACTAATTACTTGCATTACACGTTTACACAAATCTCATCAAATCTCATCAAACACGTTTACTTGCATTACATGCTTACACAAATCTTATTGTCACACTTCAAATTGACTTTGAAAAAAACAAAAAAACAAAAACAAAAAAACAAAACAAACACATAGTAGATAACTCACGAGGCAAACCCTAATGAAGCCTGATTGCTCTTCACTGTCATTGCTGGTTAAATATCCGTCCACATAAACCACTTCCTCGATATAGCTAATGGAAAGATCTTGGAAATGATATCATCAACACGTTCGTAGTACCATATCCTCCATCTTCGAGAAAACACGATCGGTGCAACAACTGCTCCGAACCCAGTCAAGAGTCCAATTTCAGCACTTACCAAATTCCAATCAATCTTTCTCCCAGAATTTGAATGATTGTTTTTTGTTGCATTTGGTGCCACTTTGTCTGAGCAATTCTTCAAAGGGAATCCGCATAGTCCTTTGTTTCCTATGAAGGAATCTTCTGGCAATGTCTGAATTTGATTGCCCGTTGGAATCATTCCAACCAGTTGGTTGAATGAGAGGTTCAAAACTTGGAGGAAATTGAGGCTCTGGAGTTGCGTTGGAATTGTTCCATTGAGGTTGTTCCACGAGAGGTCCAAGGACTCCAGATTTCGCAAGTTCCCTATCGAAGAAGGGATATGACCTATGAGAGCATTATGGGACAAGTTGAGGATATAAAGTGCGTGGAGTTGTCCTAATTCTTCCGGTATTTGTCCATGGAAACTGTTAATGGAAAGATCAATGCAAGTGAAAATATCTAAGATCTTTGGCAGCTCCTGCTCCAACCCTTTGATGGTCACTGTCGCTGTATACTCATAAGTTACGTGAGGATAATCTCTGGAAAAGCTCCGTTCACGTTCACGAGAAAAAGCGTTACGAGAATAAAGGTTACGAGGATAAACGTTACGAGCATGAGACTTAGGATTCATTACCATTCTCATTAAACCACCCGAGCGTAGAACCTCGACATGGGAGTCACCATTTTTAACTGCCATTCCCTGCAAATTCGTTAACCACCGCCTTGGTAATTCTCCACTAAAATTATTGTCAGCTGCGTCAAATATGTGAAGCATCGGCCAGCTTCCATCAGCATTTGGACACTCAATGCTACCATACAACTTGTTTGATCGAAGAATAAGGATGAGCAAGTCGGATATATTCTTCAACAAGCAGGGAAATTTGCCAACGAGTTCATTGTGCCCAAGGTCCAAAAACTCCAATGCAGAGCAATTGGCCAGAGATTTTGGAATCTTCCCTTCGATGAAATTGCCATTGAGATCTAGTGCCGTTAATGTACATCCCGATGGGAACACATCAGGAATTGGGCCTTCCAAGTTGTTCTTCCGCAAATTCAACATATGACGCGAACCACTAGTTTCAATTAAACATGTTGGTATTTTACCACTTAAATTGTTGTGCGACAGATCAAGAATCAAAATGTTTCCAGGGGCACATATGCGTTCAGGTATAACTCCTGTAAGGCTATTGTTTGAGAGGGAGAAGAAAGTAATCTCTGTATCGTTATCAAAATTATCATATGGAAAGGAAGTTAGCTTATTGCTAGACAAATCTACAACCTTAAGATATTTTGGAAGAACAGGGATGTTTCCTTGTAACTTGTTAAAGTGTAAGTCAAGGGTTGCAAGATTTTCTGGGAAAACAAAAGGTTCCTGCATGCCTACCAGGTAATTACATGAAAGATTTAGATTTGCAAGTTTCCCATCCCCAACTTTCCAAATCCATTTAGGAATCTGTCCTGAAATCTGGTTATTGGAAAAACTCAAATCTCTCAACCATGACATATTCTTTAAATCAGGAAACGAATTCAGGTTGTTATATGAAAGATCGAGAGTATCAAGGTTGGAACATCCTCGAAACATATTCTGCTGTTTGGTTCCATTGAACTTGTTGTAAGACAAATATAGGCTGGTTAGATTGCCAAGTTTGCAGATTGATGTTGGAAGCAGCCCCTCTAGTTTGTTGTGACTCAAATCTAGGGTATCCAATAATGAAGAAGATGTCGTTTTAAACTCAGGAATGAGGCCACTAAATTGGTTGTTGGACAACTGAATCGTTTCTAAACATGGAAGTACAAACAGATCTAATGGTATCTCAGCAGTTAAATAATTATGAGAGAGATCTATCTGGACAAGTTTCATGGACAAACTAAAAGATGGGACTAGGCCACTAAAATTATTAAAAGATAGATCAATATGGGCGACTTCGGTGAGGTTTGACATGGAAGTTGGAAGTATGCCGTTAAATTGGCACTTGGAAAGGTCTAATGTGGACAAGTTCCAAAGGTTACCAAGAGAAGCTGGTAACTTCCCTGAAAACTTAGTGGAAGAGAGATGTAATTCTTGAAGAGAATTATTTATTTGAAACTCTGGCACAGTACCCTCGAGAAATTCATTGGATGATATGTCAAGAATCTGTAGTGTTGGTACCTGGAAGATGCCGCTAGGAAATGTTCCATGCAACTCGCAGTTACGAAGATTCAACACGGTCAAATTTGAGAATTTGGCAAAGGACTCTGGAACTGGAGAAGACAAATTGGTACCTTCCAAATCAATGACCGACAATGATTGAAGCTCCACAAGCGACTCATCCAGTGGGCCAGGAACATATCCATCGGATAAGCTCAATACTCGCAGATTAGGCAGTGAGGATGACAATGCTTGGCACCACCTGTTTCCATGTGCTGATATGTTTACACCATCAAGATGTATTTCTTGAAGCTTTGACAGGTTCTGAACCAAAACACTCAAATTTGGGATCTCAAGCCTCGAATTTGATAAATCAAGAGTGACCAAGCTTCTTAGGTGGGAAATCTCAGTTGGTATTTGCCCCACAAAGCCTGCTTCTGCTAGATTCAGATGCCTCAAATTTGTAAGGTTACCAATCCTTGAGGGAATTGTAGAGTTAAAGGCGTTATCAGACAGATCAAGGCTCTTGAGATGTTGGAGATTGAAGAGAGTGCTTGAATTGTCAAGCCCGCCAGAGATTGCCTCGCCACTTAAGTTGAGACGTGTGACACGACCCTCTTCGCAAGTTACACGTTCCCAGGAACAGCAATCAGAACTTTCGTTCCAATTCACGAGCTTCTCAGAGGAAAAACTCCCGAAATCTAGGCTGTTCTTCAGTTGGAGCAACAAAGATTGCTGAGAGCCAAGACACTGATCACCAGAAACTAGGAAAGTACAAAGGGTGACTAGGATAGAGAAAATGAAGGGCCATGAAAACAGTTGATTATTTGTCATTGCGGATTTAGCAGAGGGAGAATGAAAATGGTCTCATTCAGGTGCTAAAAGCAGCAAACCCACGCCATGTATATATATTACAAATAAATAAAAAAAGACATTGCTTCTCTTTAAAAAAAAAAAAAAAAAAAAAAGGACATTTTGTAGAAAATCGAAAATATAGTGGAAAAAATTTTTTGAGACTCAAAAATCCGAAATTTCCACTGAAATTTAAGAAATTTCGGCGAGATTTCCGACCTTGTGATCTATAACGTCCGTTGTGTGAAAAGGCAAAATAAAAGAGAGGAATTTCGTCTTGGCAAATGGCAATTATGAGGCAGACTAATAAAATAGTCCATTCAGTCAAGTCAATTTTGTGAAAAAAAATACTTCCTTTATTACAAGCTACGACAAGCATTGACCGTTTTAAATGGTTTAAATTAGAGCTCGTTTAGCTCGCTGATTCGAGTTTTTAATTCGAGTTGATATGTAATTTTATGTTAAAGTTTTTTACTGCAGTAAAAAAATTATATATGACTGTTTGTGAGAACTTTTTACTGTAATAAAATTCGAATTCTAAACTCGAATCAGCGAAATGAACGGGACCCAAATTCATATTTTTGTTTCCACTCATAGGTTCTAAGACCAATCTACACGGTGAGCACAAAGTGTGGAAAAAAATATCCACGAAATAAATTGCCAACATTTTCACTATATTGTGTTCATATTTTGTAATGTCGATACGGATAAGGGGGAATATTCTTTCCGGAGCATTGCAAAATGTCCATAATATCCAAAAATATCCACAATATCATTGAATATTCAAGATTGTTTTGGATATCTCCATACAGAGTCCAAAAATACCTGAAAATTTTTATTTTTTTGCAAGAAAAATAATTTTGACAGCACTTTTTTTATTATTATTTTTCAATAAAATGTAACCACTAAATGGTAAAAAACAACATATAAAAATATATAGTGTGACTTAAATGTGACGACTAAACTAAAATATTAAAGATATTGTGTGACTCCCACTTTACCCACAAAAATCTTTTTCACTTTCAATTTATCTCACGTGTTTCTTTAATACTTTAGGTAGATGGCCAGTGTTTTATATCTTTTTAAATTTTAATGTTTAAGATAATATTTAAACATTGATCACTAAGGGTATTTATGTCATTTTAACAATTTAACAACTTAAAAGGTTATATTTTATTTTAAATAAAAAAATAATGGTATAATTCTTAGATAGTTTAAACACATAAGTGATATGTCTTGGATTACAAAAAAAAAAAAAAAAAAAAGGACAAATATAGGATTTTCCTAAAAGCTAAGAGGATACTTTTTGGATAAAATTATAATTGCATATATGAGGAATTGTCTCCTGTCAGGCACATATAATTATGCATGAATTGTGTATATTTACAGGTAAATCGTATATATTTACATATAAAGTCGTGTATATTTAACATGAAATATAACAAATCAATCAATATACATATTTTCATGCTATGTGTTCATTAATTGCTATAAAAAATACACGTTTTGAGGATTAATATACATTATCGTTTCTTATAACTTAACATACACGATTTATATGTAAATATACACGATTTACATGTAAATATACACGATTACACAATTATACAAGTGTCATGTAAATATACACAACTTATCTGTAAATATACACAACTTACCTGTAAATATATATAATTCATATACAATTATATAAGTACATGACTGGTCAGACACTTTCTATAAGTGACTGAGGAGAGACCTTACCTATGATTATATTTGACAATGGGCATGCATTAATACAAAGTTTGCATAAACAGAATAATATCCGTTGAGAGAGATGACGGCGAGAGAGGGCATGCTGCAACAATGAAAAGATAAACATTAACCATCTTGTCTTCAGCGTTCACCTCACATATTGAAAGTCTAGGCAATATTATATTGTTGCACATCAGGTGGGCAAAAATTGTTATGTCACAGCCCTCAATTGTAGGTTCATCAAACTCCCAGAGTACATGGTAAAGGAAAATTCATTATGCTAAATCTTGAACTTGATCACAATTTGGAATATAAATTTCCTTATATTTTGCAAGTGGTATAAAGTATTTGCTTAGGGAAGATCGATCTTTTAGCTAAACATAAGAGTACTATATTGACTTTCACTCAGGATAGACCAAATAGTAAGAGACTTGCAATTTTACAAACGTTGTGGTTTTGTTCGTTTTGTTAGTTCGAGTTATATACTCAAATTTTTATTGCAGTATTTTCTCTCATAAAAATCTAAATTTAACTTTTTATGCTACAGTTTTTTCTCTCATATAAATTCACTTTTCAAATCGAGTTGAAAACTCAAAATTGGCGTAGCAAACAGGACCACTGTGTTTATCATCTACCATGTTCTTTCTTTTCCTTTTTCAACATACTGGAAGCAATTTTACGTAGTTCATCTAAATTTTTTAACATGAATACTCGTAGATCTGACCATTAAAATATAATTCAACGGCTAAAATAGCAGTACCTACCGATAGGGTAAAAATAGAATTCCTACCATAAGTTTTGTAAAAAAAAAAAAAAAAGAAAGAAAAAGAAAAAGGGCCTACACTTTCCTTTATATGAAAGGGAAAAAATTATGAATAATGGAATTTTCGTTACGGCAATTGATTGAGATAGAGAGAGAGGATTTATCTCCATAGACATAAAGAGGAGAGCCAACATGGTGGGACCTGCGTGGACCCTACAAGTGAGGCTCTCTTTTGTATCTGATGGGGGACAGTCGATCAAGTCGATAAACACCCCTTAGTAGTGGAGGAGCCACGGATCAAACCTTGAATCTCTCTCTTAGTGGGAGTCTAAGTGGAGTCCACAACCACTCCATTCAATCCCTTAGGGTCAATAAGTCATGTTAGAAACGTAGCTAGAACATGAAAGCAGTTCTATTAAAATTATTTCCTTCACTCATCGGTCCCTATAAAATAAGTATTTCTATTGTCAATTCTAACGATGAACATTCAACATGAATAACTATTTCAACTATTAAAGTAAAGCATGTGGTCAGAAATTTCCAGGAAAACAAGAAAAAATATATATATCTTTGCGCGATCAAGACGAAATGCCTATATCTGTGTCAACATCTTTGTTTCTTTTATGGCTCAAAAGACTATTTTATATGCTTTCACACTTAAGAGTCAAGCGAGGTTTGCATGATAATTCAATTCATAGATCAAGGAAATTAATCTCTTTGTTGAAAATGGACGAAAGAAAAAGAGCAAGTCTAGCTAGTTTGAACCTTTAAGCAAGGACTTTTGTTATAAAAAGAACCTACCATACTCTTTCCTTCCATTTTCTCCCTTTTATTTTTCATAATTTCTAGCCCAACTTACATCTTTGGAAATTGACAATAATGAGCGTGGTTCATAGAATTTGTAGTGAGGGACCATATTCAATGTAATTGACCGGAGGAGAAGAACTGGCGGGTGAAAAATGTTACAAAGCGCTTATAATATCAACACCTAATATTGTTAACTAGTTGGAAGCATGTTCTACAAATGAGTATATTGATTAGTTTATTACTTTTTTTGATACGTGAATTAAAATTTTGAAGAGTTTAATTTTAAAAAATAATTGAAGAAAAACTGTGTTCATTACTTCAACAAGGGCAAATTAAAAATATATATATTTATGTGAAAAAATATATTTATGATAAAACTTACGTGAAAAAATATACTAAAAGCGACAAATTTTGAAAAAAAAAAAAAAAAAGTTTTAACTACAGTAAATTAAAGAAAAATAATTCATTTAGCTTAGAGAGTGTAAGATTTAACACGAAAAACACAAAAGAACAATCAGATAAAACCAAAAAGTAAGAAAAAAAATATTTACATTAGATTTAGTGGAGCTATTTTGAAATTTTTATTAATGAATGGGGTATATTTGGAAAAAACTTGAAAATCTATAAGATAAAAATTTTAAAAATAAAAAATAAAAATCAAGGGGGCACAAGTGGTATATTTGAAAAAAAAAAAACTTAAAACGCTATATGGTGAAAATTTTAAAACCAAAAACCTAGGGGTGCAAATGCCCCGGGCCTCATCTCCGTCCACCCCTGTAAATCAAAGCACTGCCTCTTAATCATGGTTATTTCGTAGTCATGAATTCTTAAGAATTAGATGCCTTAATTATTTACTATTGAGAGTAATAAAATAGCAGGAAACAAACAAATAAACATACACATGCTAGATTTATTTGTTATACCTTATTGTGGGAGGCTTTCAATTGTTGATGAGCAGAAAATATAGCAGTAAAAGTATGAGCCGAAATAACTTACCAAAAAAAAAATAAACCACTCCAATTTTTACTAATTAAAATCATGACTAAAATTTTAATTACATTCATGAATATTTCGGAAAATGGGCATGCATTAATACAAAGTTAAGTTGAGATTTATTTGCAGAAATAAAATAATATCCATTGAGAGAGATAGAGAGCATGTTGCAAGAATGAAAGACAAATATTATTGTATTTGTTCACGGCACGTAACACTCGAAAAATCATCAAATAGAAATATAATAAAATAATCCTTAATTATTTTTAAATAAACGTATTTGCCAGGTCTATTATTTATTAATTTATTTGCTCAAAGAGAAAAGAGATTAGTGGTGTACCGTCACATCAACCTAATGATCACTTAACAATCTACTAAAATTACTGGCGGAGTGGAAAGAAAATTTACCGAACTTTTATTGACTAGCATCGAGAGTTTAAAATTACATTAACTGAAGCAATATTTGATTGGCTGATCCATTAGGGCATGTTTAGTTCGCTGATTCAAATTTTTAATTCGAGTTGAGATGTGACTTTACGTTAGAGCTTTTTACTGTAGCAAAAAAGTTAGATGTGACTATTTCTGAGAGTTTTTTACTGTAATAAAACTCGAATTCTAAACTCGAATCGGCGAAATGAACGAGGTCATATATATAAAAAGTTGGGCAATTTTGAGGCAGAGATTGATCAAATAGACCTGCAGTCAATCAACTCAAGTAACAAAAACACCACGCCCACGGCACACGGCCCATCCGAGCAGTTTTAATAAAAAAGACATCCTTTATTACACGCTGCAAAAAGCATTTAACGTCCAAAATGGTTTAAGACCACTCTACGGTTGTTTCCAATTCCAAAAGCATTATTCTTACAAAAGCGTCCATACTTTATTTACATCCATAGGCCCTTGCAGTTTAATTTATTCCCTTATAGGGACCCATCCAGACAGTGAGCACAGGGAAAGCGGTGAGGGCATTCCAACTCAAATCTTTTTAACTTTCAATTCTTTAATATTTTGTTTTATCCCCACTTAAAAAAAAAAATTTTGTACTCTTTTTTAAGACCTAATTGGATGGTGAAATCCACGGTCAATTTGTATTCGAAGCCAATGTCCGATTTGACACCAATTCGATTGTGTGATAATATTATTGGCTAAAGTTGTTTTCAACTTTTCTAGGAGCCAATATCTAACATCTTCCTAGCTAGTCTTTGGTCATATGGTCGGTAGTTTCAAATGATAAGGACAAAATTAATATTTGCATACATCTCTTTATTATTTTGTTAATAGAAGAACACTAATTACCACCTACTTATTGGACAAAATAAATATAGTAGTGAAAGGCGACTTCATAAATAATTACACATAAAATGGTAATGAATATGTAAGTACCGGTTTGAGTCTTTTAATACTTTATAAGACAATATAAATAACGCAGAAACGTAAAATAAAAGAACACGAGAGAAATGATATCATGATTCGGTAACAACTTACTCCGCGGGGCCACGCCCAGATGATGAACAATCTACTAAGAATTCTTTTACAATTCAATTGGACTTAATCTACCCGAGACTCCCTCTCTAAGAAGACGTCTATGAACTTGCAATTTCCCAATGGACTTGAGCAGCGAGATCCCCTCGACTTTTTAACATTGGAATCCCTCCAACTAAGTTTTTAACATAGGAAGAGCAAGCACCATTAATGGAGCGGCGGGAATTTGGAAATTTGGGAAAACATGAGCAGCAAGCAGAGCAAAAAAAAAAAGGGGAGGGAATGGACCAGCCGGAATTTGAAAATTTGGGGAAACAATTTTTCCACTGTCCAATGTCATTCTAATGTGTACAGTAGTATATATTTAAATATATATACAATAAACCAATAAACCAGCCAAACTTTCATTAACTTATATATATACATCTTATAATTATTTTGAAACTTTATTATATATAGCTGAAAAAACATTTAATAACGTTTTTTTTTAAAAGGCTATAACTAACAGTTATAAAAAGGTTGTTCTATTGTAGTGACACTATCGAATCAGGTGTCGTAGTTTCTAATTGCCTTCTAAATACCTCCACGTTCGTCAAACATGGGGTGATCTTTCCTTCCTTTGCCACTCTGACTGTGATTTTGTGACCCTTAGCCTTCCCTCGACCTCCACGACGTCGTTGAGGTGCGGCATCGGGTGCAGTAGAATGAAATATATTTAGTGATCATATAATACTGATGTAATTAATTTAATAAATTTATAATTATGTTCTAACATATCAGACTCATAGTGTGATGGCAATCTATAAGGATCGGGTAGAGGCTGCGCTCCCCCTAAAGAGCCAGCACATGTAGCGACTGGGCCAAACATGATTACCTGCTATGAAGTTTTATCAAATTTTATGAAAATTAACACAAATAATATTGTAATATGTCTTTAACATTCTCTTAACTATTTTATAATACTTATTTTTAATTTTTTTTAATTAATAATATAATACTAATTAAAATTTCCATCTAAATTTTTTAATCATCATATATATAATTCATTATTTTTAACTTCTTAATATTTCCATAGGTCTCCTAGTTTTTAATAATCATCACATAATCATCATCAAACAAATTTCAATCTAATTACCACAAATTTCAATTTCAATTCTAATTTACAATTCACAATTCTAAATTGTAAACCACAAACTAAATTCAAAATCCAAAACAAACCAAAATACGAAAATCAATTTATAAAATACCAAAATATTAACTCACAATATCCAAACCCACAAACACCGGGGGTTGAAAAACGGTATGGCAGTAGGGCTGGGAGGGCGACGACGGCCGCAAAATGATGACGAAGGCCGGAAAAACAGGCGGCGACGGCGAGGTGAAAACTCCATTTTTTGGACTTTTTTGGAATTTTTTTCTCCACAAATGAAAGATTTGAGGAGAGAACGATATTTTTAAGCTATTTTTAGTGTTTATGGACGGTTTTTAGAGGTTTTGGATAGAGAGAATGAGAGAAAACATGAGAGCTCACCGAAAAAATGGCAGAAGGAGGTCTGCGATTGCGTTTATACAGATGGCTTTTTATGACGACATTATGTCGTCGCAAGTAATATTAAATAGTCGTCGCAAGTAATATAAAAATGACGTCATTCTTCTTCACCTCATTAATATTACTGAGAATATTCTTGAAGAATATACCCGTGTTCCTTTTTTGTGACGACTTTACTAAAATGTCGTCGCAAATAATTTTAAGGAAACCGTCAAAGTTTCTGCCCTTTTAAAGAAGTCACAAATAATTTTAAAGAAGACGTCGCAAAAAATAGTCGTCCTTCATAGAATTTCCTAGTACTTTTTTTTGTGACGACACGTGTCGTCGCAAAAATAGTCGTTCTGAAAAGAATTTTCTGACACTCTTTTTTGCGATGACTTTCAAATATGTCGTCGTAAAAAATAAAGAAATATATGGAACCTATTCGCCGAAAACCGCCAAATTTTCACCTCTTTTTAGCCACATCACTGTGGCCACGTCACCGTCAACTGTAACAATCAATATTTGTGATGACATGTCGTCACAAATAATGGACAAACTGACGCCAAAATTATTGGCGCTAGAATGGTTTTGGCGCCAATAGCTATTAGCGACGACACGTCGTCGCGAATAAGTTGCCAAATTTTAGCGACGATATGTCGTCACAAATCGTAAAATTTTGTGCAATGACATGTCGTCATAAATATTGAATACGACAACAAGTCATTCAAAAAAAATTTTTTTTTTTTGGCGATAACATGTCGTTGCTATAAAGAATAATTTTAATAATGATAAATATCGTCGTTATTAATCCTTTTTGTTGCAGTGAACGTCTAATTGAACTTTAGTTTTAATTCTCTACATATAACAATGTCAGGTGTAATAAGCTATGCCAATCTCATCACTCTAGCACCGACACGTGCATTTTTCTACGTATCGTCACTAATTTTTGTTATGCTTATTTGGATTAGGAAATTTGTACGGTAAGAACTGTACTTTTTAGTCACAACTAGGAACTACTATTTTAACAATTAATTATTTTTTTAACGGTTTAATTTATAATTGGGAGTAATTTTGTGCCACATACTATAAATTTTAAACGTAAATATTTATAAATTAAACCGTTAAAAAATTTATCTAATGACTAAAATAATAATTCTTATGAGTAGAGAAAAAACAGTATATATACCGTAAAGGTTCCCTTTCTAGTATCAGCATACTTTTAATTGCAAAAAACTTTTAGCTATATTTATAAAAAAAATTGCATTTTAACCCCTAAATTTTTAAAAAATTATATTTTGACCCCCAATTTTTAAAAATTATATTTTGACCCTTCAATTTTTTAAAAATTATATTTTCATCATTTATTTTGAAAATTACAATTTGACCCTATTTTTCATATTTTTTTTGTAAAACAACCCCTATATAGTAACTCTACTTTCTCTTTTTTTTTTTACTAGGTTATTCCTACAAAGGGTTTTTAATAAGGCATCATGAATGGTGGACATCTAAAGAGGAGTGTTATGAATAGTAGCTGTCTACTTAAGTCAAAGTTACCGTGCATATCAGTCAAAGTTATTATTTATGTCCAAATCTTACTAAAAAGTTTGCTCAGACTCAGGCTCAACTTGAGAGGAAGAGAGTCTCAAGCTCGTTTATTTCGCATATTTAAATTTTTAATTCAAATTATAATATGATATTTTCTAAAAAAATTTAACTATAATAGAAAAAGTGAAATATAACATTTTCTTAAGAGTTTTTAACTTTAAGAAACCTAAAATGTGAAATTAACAACGAGTTAGAGTAAAGAGGCGCAAATCATTTGTGAGAGATTAAGATCTAGGATTAGAATAACTCTGGGTTGGTTGAGCTATAGAGGCTTTAAAAAGTCCAATCCACTAACCGTCCCAAACATCTCGAGCCCGAGCCCAATGCTTAATGGGCCGAAAGTTAAAAGTTAAAGCTGCGGATTGCTTTTTCGGCGGGTTGTTGAGGTTCATGTACAGCCCTAAACTAGAGTGAGAACGAGTGAGTGTGAGGTCCGAGAACCGGAAAAGAAAGGAAAGAAGATGTCGACGTTTCAGCTGAGAAACCTCAACGAGCTCTTCGCTACGACGTCGTCTCGGATTCCGACACCATTCCGCCGCCGCAGCACCAAGCCCTTCTATTCTCCCTCTTCCTCTTCTCCGAGAAGGAGAAATGTCTCAAAGCGACACCGTTTCGACGCCGTCGTCAGCTGCTCCTTCCAGCCAATGGAGACCGCCAAGATTAAGGTTGTCGGCGTCGGTGGCGGCGGCAGCAATGCTGTCAATCGAATGATTGGAAGTGGTTTGCAGGTTTGTCTTCGTTTTTCCTTTTTGGGTTTTGCCTCGGACTGAAAAATTGTATCGCTTTTGAGTTTTTCCTTTATGGGTTTTGCCTCGGACTGAAAAATTGTGTCACTTTTGAGTTGAGTTGTGCAAACGAACAAACCCTCAAATTCAACTTTTTTACTACGGTGTTTTTCTCTCACGTATACGAAGTTGTGCAAATGAACGTACCCTAAGTGATTGTTTCCTTGTGTTTGAGCTGACAAAACGCATTTTGCGTTTGCAATTTATGTTAATTCTTGATTTACAAATGCCTGTTGTTGTTTGGAAAGAAATTGGTGTTATCTTTTCATTTGTGCAATTTGGGTTGGGTGTAGCTTTTGATTAGCTTAGTTGAATTCATTGTAAACTGTTATCTAAATTATTTGGTGTTAGCTTACTCGAACTAATTGAAGCTTTAGATAGCTTTTCCTTGTCTTTGAATCGTGGTTTAGGACAAAACGTCAAAACCCACTATTAGTTTTCAATTCCTGTTACTTGAATCTTGGTTTTACTTACAAATGATTGTTGAAATTTGAAATTAAAATGGTACTCTCTCTTATTTATTTATTTTTTATTTGGATGGTAGCTTTTGATTAGCTTAATCGAATTCGCTATGATTTTGTTGCCAAGTGATATGGTGATTTTCATTTTCCCATTTTTTGTTTTTTCATGAAGAAATTGGTAGAACCTTTAGTTTACTTGAATTCAATTGATTTGTGATGGTAATGTTGCTCATTTTTTGAGAACAGGGTGTCGATTTCTATGCGATAAACACGGATGCTCAAGCACTAGTACACTCTGCTGCTGAGAACCCACTTCAAATTGGAGAGCTTCTGACTCGTGGACTAGGTCAGGCCTTTGTTGATGTGCCTAACTTAATAGTTCATGTTTTGTATTGGATATATATTAACTAATTCAAGCTATCACTATTTGTCTTGAGTTTCTCTGTCCTTCCTCTTGATTTGAAACACTTTGTAGAGGTGCAGGTACTGGCGGGAATCCACTTTTGGGTGAACAAGCTGCAGAGGAATCAAAAGACACCATTGCAAATGCCCTTAAGGGTTCAGATCTGGTTTTCATAACAGCTGGTATGGGTGGAGGGACGGGCTCCGGTGCTGCCCCAGTTGTTGCTCAGATATCCAAGGAGGCTGGTTATTTAACTGTCGGTGTGGTTACCTACCCTTTTAGCTTTGAAGGGCGTAAAAGATCCTTGCAGGCAGGTGTCATTGTGGTCCCTTTTTGGAATATCATAGAACTTGTATACTTGTGTGTACTTCCTAATCAAGTTCACTTGTCCTTTTCATGGTATTTTTATTGGCAATTGTTGTTACCTTATACAAAATCAAAGAATCAAATGACATGTTCTTCTTTCCTTCAGGCGCTGGAAGCTATTGAGAAGTTGCAGAAAAATGTGGACACTCTTATAGTGATTCCGAATGACCGCCTGCTTGATATTACTGATGAGCAGACAGCTCTTCAGGACGCTTTCCTTCTTGCTGATGATGTTCTACGTCAAGGAGTGCAAGGAATTTCAGATATAATCACGGTGAGTGCTTTTGTGAAACATTGAACTACTTTATTACTTCGGTCTCAAGAGCTTACATGTCGGGAGTTACAAATTTATTTAACTATTTCCAGTGAGCATAACCTGATTTCTCAATAGTTCGATTAGCATAATCTGATCCCTCCATTCATGATTAATTTTGTTAATGATTTCGAGCGAAATCCCCCACCTATTCCCTAGCATCTCAGACTTCTTTTTTTCCATACATTTTTCCATATCTTCCCAGATATGTCTGCCTTGTATGAAGTGTTGTTTTGTTGGTTTGCAGATACCCGGACTGGTGAATGTTGATTTTGCAGATGTGAAAGCAGTTATGAAAGACTCTGGAACTGCAATGCTTGGTGTAGGGGTTTCGTCAAGCAAAAACCGCGCCGAAGAAGCTGCTGAACAAGCTACATTGGCTCCCCTGATCGGTTCTTCAATTCAGTCTGCTACCGGAGTAGTATACAATATTACAGGTGGAAAAGACATAACCCTGCAAGAAGTGAATAGAGTATCCCAGGTACATTTAATAAGCTCGTGTTTAATGTGCTCTTAGGTATTTTTCTTCAATGTTCATTGGATAAAATCTGCTGATGTATTCTCAGGTTGTGACGAGTTTGGCGGATCCTTCCGCAAACATAATATTCGGAGCTGTTGTAGACGACCGTTATAATGGAGAAATTCATGTTACTATTATAGCCACAGGGTTCTCACAATCGTTTCAGAAGACTCTGTTAACGGATCCTAGGGCCGCAAAACTCGTCGAGAAGATAACAGGGGGTCAAGAAAGCAAGGGAATTCCGGTTCCCCTCAATGCATCAGCAGCACCTTCATCCAGACCACCACGGAGGCTTTTCTTTTAAATTCCCTTTCAGAGTTTCTTTTACGTGTATTTTTCTCTTGTGCTCTTGTAACGAGATTGAAGTTCAATCTTTTGAGATATCATGTTTTCTGAGCCCAATCATATATTGTGTGATTCTTCGAAGTCTGTAATTAAGGCGATATCGTAGCCAATAGGAACAAGTTGTAGATCTTTTGTTTCTAGGACATGAAATTATTGTTCAAAACCAATGGTTTTAAATACAAGAGAAATCATTTTCCTCTTATGGACTACAACAAAAGATGAATCCTTAATAAAGTTTTCAAGAGACGGTTTGCAATGTTTCTGATAAAAAAGAAGTGATGCTTTTTTACCAATATTTTCTTCTACTGGTAGGGGAAAGAATGATTATCGAGTTTACTATATTACATATGCACATCTACAATCTCTAGTAATCCCCAGGAAACAGGAAAAATAATATCAACTTAATTTAACTGATAATTGACACATTCTTGACTTGTAAAATCCCAGTAAGCAGGAATCAATCACAAGAAGAACGACAATTCCGGTTTGGGTGTAAAGGAGAACATGCTTTGACCGAAAAACTCAAACAATGACGAGACTAAGTGGCCTGCATCCATGTTCTCTTTCCAAGCCTGAGCAAGAACAGAAGATGTCTTTCCCGTTTGACCACCTAACTCTCTTCCTGACAATTGTTCACTCGATAACTGGCGAGACATCGATGAGATGCCAGCATGGGATGCGCCAATACCAGTGGCAAATCCAGCTGCGGCCCCTTGCATGTCGACTTGCATGGAGTTCATTGACATTGCCCCCATGCTTCCGTCCGTGGCTAACTTCTTCAGTGGCGGTTGCTGCATCAAGTTGTCTGTGCTTGCTTTGCGTTTATCTTGGTTGAACAAATTGCACGAAGTCAGGCATGAGGAGAGGGAACATACAAGTAGAGAGTTTAGTTAAAACAGATTAAGTGTCATACTTGTCATCATTGCTGCAATCTTCCCATTGCTCCTCAAAACGGCACGAGATGGCGGAGAAAACACACCACGGAACTTCTTCAACCGTTCGTGCATGCATTGGCCTGCTGCACACTGGAAATTTACAACTTTTTTAGTTGTCGAACCATTTCATAGCTAACCAATTATTTTATAAAATAAAAATTTAGGGTCAGATTAAAAATGTGAGCTCACCATCAAGGCCCCATATACACGCCAAGCTTCATGTCGTCTCATCTCGTTCTTTTGCTTTTCGAGTTGCATTTCTGGTTCAAGAAGCTGCATATACGGCTCAAGATTTGGTAGTATCAGCAGGCAAACCTGTAGAAGGTCAAGAAGCGTCACGATTTGCACACTGAAAAAAGGTCGTGACAATCTCAAAATATGACAACACGACAAATAAATCCCAGATATGTTTTGCACAGAGACTCAGAGAAGAGTTTGTCAGATATCACTTTATTCAGCTAAATAGTTATTGGACACCTAAAAAAGGCAGTCATTTAACATTCATTGGTAATTTAAGATATAATAAGGCAATTACCACGCTTGGACCAAGAGCTGCTAAGCCTTGGATTGCACCATAATGCTGAGGAAATGCTTTTGTTGGGTCCAAGAAAGCATGAACCAGAGTTTTGGTCACACGTGGGTGAAGATTGTGATAAACATGTCCGAATCTGTAATAAAAATAATTAAAAAAAAAAAGAACCATGAGAACTACATCACATGCCGATTTGCACATTTGACGATACAAAATATATTGGAGTTCATATTTGCCGTATGTACAGATTTGGAGTCCATAATTGCCGTATGTACAGATGATTTGATTTGGATATTCCTGAAATAATTTCCTTCGGGCAATTGAAAATTGCATAAATGTGAAATTTAATATCAAATAAAGCGAAACCAAAATGTTGACCTTTTGCAAATTGAAGCAACCAGGTTTGCCGCGAAATTTCTAAGCTCCCAGTGGTTATCGGAAGTTCTACTCCCTAGTCTTTTCGCAACAAGGCAGGTAATAATTGATGGCATCAGTTGGTGAAGCTGGAAAATTAAAAAATAGGAATATATCACCAGAATACAATGAAGTAACAATAAATGATAATTTCTCATCCTAAGGAAGAGTCACTCATCATTTAAGATTAGAAGCTCTCGTGATCAAGGCAAATAAAAGTTTATACGAGTAAAACGAAATTGCTTACATAAGGTTCTATATGTATGTGTGGATTTTGAATAAGGCTTTGAGCAAGACGCATCAGAGCAAATAGGAGAGAAAAATTATTGAGATTCCGAGTAACCTGAGATGATTAGAGGAAAATATAAGCAGAAGCGAATAAGAACATGACACGACCAACAGTATGTAAGAGATTACCATTAACAAGAGATCATCATATGAGTACCTCATCAGAAATAAAGTAAATGAAATAGGGAACTAAAGGATGAAGTCCCGAATCTGTTGCCAAGCTCACCAACGCTTGTTTGAAGATTATAGACCAAGACCTGTTTTTAGTAAGCTCTGTGATCTTTTCAAAGTAGAGCTGCAGAGGAAACCGCAAAAAATTATGTGCCAAAGTTGGTCCTGAACTGAATATAAATATGTGTGTGTGTGTGTGTGTGTGTGAGGAAATAAGTGAAGCGAAATAAGTGAAGCAATCACGAGTATACCTTAAGTTCCCTTGATATTACATGCTTAACAGGTAATTTAATGTCCATAGGAAGTCCATCTTCTTTACTCTCGGATTTTTTTCCATCAGCAGATGCTGAAAATAAACCATTATATTAATCGAAAATGCCCTAATTGATATTTGAAAAAAAAATAAAGGAATTATAAAACAAATTTCTAGACACATGTTCAGATTAATAAAACTCGACATCAAGATTAGAAAACATGGTAAATAGAAAAATAGAATGAAAAGGAACGATATCAAGTAGTAAGCAAAAACGACTAACTTATAGAGACCAAACCCCTTGTTTGGAAAACTAAAATTGCACGTAAATTCAGAAAGATACCTTCGCTGGGAGCATTTTCTGGAATCGCTGGCTGAATTCCTTCAATTGCTAACCAGTGAGATGTAAGTGATACATCAAGAGGTGCTTTTGGTAAAGGTGCTTCAATTACCTGTATAATCCGGATATGCAAATATCAGCGCTTACAATACATAGACTTCATGATATAAGAAAAGACAAAATACACTTGTGCCCCCTGAACTATTGGCGTGTTACAAAACTTCCCCTTAAACTTTAAAACTAGTAAATTTTCTCCATGAACAATTCTCTGTTAGCACACTTCCCCCTTATCCGCCCCCTCTGTTAAATTTTAAACGGTAAGTGTCACGTTTCTGGCACGTCACTGAAATCTATTCCATAATACCCAAAATCCTCTCATTGTCTCCGGCACCAGCAAAGATGATCCTGCCGGAGCTCCAAACCAGCTTCTTACGGCGCACGTGGCGTGTCTCCGGATCGCCACGCCGGTGGACCAGCTTCCGAGGATCGACGCCCAACTCGCTCAGCCGCAGAATGTGGTCGCCAGGTACTCCGCCCTCGGTCAGGCCATGGTCAGCGATGATAAAGAGCTTGATCAGTTTATGGTACACTTATTAATCTTCTCTTCTCGATCGTCTCTCCTTTTCTTCTCTCTTTCTTTCTTCCAATTTTCTGCTAATTTATGGAACCAATTGAACCGGAATTTATTGTCATCTGCCGATTCCATCTAAGAATTAATTGGAAGAAGAAATGGCCTTTTTTTTCCAGTTTTGGGGAGGCCAAATTTCTGGTCGGCCGAGGAGGTTAGTTGGTGTATATTTCTACCTACGGCCCTTTTAAGCACTTATTAAATGCGAAGAGCAATCATGTGCAAGCTAAGTTCCATGGCGGCGAGGCTCCCTATGACCATTAGGGCAAAATTCATAAATGGCCACGAAATACACAGGAAACCTGAGAAAGGGATGACTATATGGGTAAAATCGTCATTTCATATTACATTAAAAATTAAATACCTTAGCTACTGACACGTCACACTTAATGTTCAAAATTTTACAGAGGGGACAGATAAGGGGGATGCGTGCTAACAGCGAATTGTTCAGGGAGAAAATTTGTTATTTTTAAAGTTCAGCGAGAATTTTTGTAGCACGCCAATAGTTTAGGGGGCACAAGTGTAATTTTTCCTATAAGAAAACATATTCAAGGTAACCAAAGACTTCTCACATCTTTAAATTCCACATCCTTGTCATCGATGTAGAACAAATCCTTGTGTCCAGCAGCTCTCTTGAACCGCAGAGAATCTCCTGAGGCAAAGCCATATATTGGCTGAGGTGGCAGCAGAATCAAAAGTTAAAAGTGAATTTGAGGTCTAAGTTTCAGCTTTTCCAACTTTGTAGCTCGATATCAAGACACCAAAATTATAGAAGATCTCACACAAGTGTACAAATAAGTCGACGAGGAAACATTCAATATAACACATCTTTCTCACAATTTTTAAAAACGTGTCACCTATCTTTATGAAAAATCATTCATTGTACAATATCTGCTGAAATTTAATAAAAAAATTCAAGCAAACTAAACAAGAATCAAGCTTCTCAGAAACAAATTTGTAAGCTAACATTGTAAAAAATATTGTTATTTTAGGATTAAAAAATATACCAAATGTATACTAGCACCTAGACAACAAAAGACGCGTACCTCCACATTTCTTAACTTAAGTGCACTATCAACATCGTCAGTTGTAAGGGTAGTTCGCCTAGAATGCCGCATGCATTTAATAGCCTCCTGCAGTTCAAAACCAAAAAGAACTTGTTGGTTTCCTTTGGCCGCTTCAAACTCAATGATCCAACTACATTAGCTGCATTACGATTTACGGGTACCGATTTTCTTGTACTTTTCTCACATTCCCAGCACATAACGCATGACCAGAAAATCAGAGTCTACACCTTCATTACCTCATTTAATGAACTTTCCACAACTATCCCAAGCTTAGTGGTAATAAAAATTACAACTGGTTGAAATAGTTCAAACCTTAGTTTTTCGCGAAATACAAATAGAAGGAGAACGCCTCATTACAGTATGAAAAAATACCCTGCTGGTAGAATGCAGTTTTTAGCTGTCATATCTACATTAAGTTCCGATAAATTGTCATACTTTACTTCATTCGATATGTAAATTTTTGTTAGTTGTCATATTCTCAACGAATTCCGTTAAATTATCATATTTTCTTAATCTAACATGCTTATGATATGATCTAACGGATAAAAACTGTGCCATATTTCATAATTTACCCCACAATTCTCCAAAATAGAAATGGCAAAACCTCGAAAAACTAAACCAAAGCTCCACCAACAACAACTAAAACAATGTGAAAATCAAAATTGCATAAGATCAGTGTCAAAGTTGACCTGCATGATCTCGCGGACTCGGTATTCGACGTCGGGAGCGAGAGCCAGGGCAACATCAGGGGACAAATTGGTAATTCCAATGCTCTGTGCAATCACCTCAATTGCTTCTTTTGGCACCACGCTCATCTTTTCTTTCAAAAAATAAACAAATAAAAATATGGTTTCTTTGCTTTGTTTTGCTCCAAAACTACCTCATAAACCTTCTGCAACAAAACTCATACTGAAAAAAACACCTCTTCTGTATTCTCGTGACAAATATGAACTCTGCAAATTGTAGACACAAAAATAACTTACACAAAATTCAGAAAATATTAACGATAACAATAATCATATTAGTAATAATCCATAAAGCATAAACTAGATTTCCCTTTCCAAAAAAAAAATAAATAAATAACCCAAAGACTAGAGAGAAACCTGTTTTTGAACAAGTCTTATTGGAAGAGAGGGATTCTGTCGGAGAGAGGGGAGAAGTTGGGTGTGCGAAGTGCAGGATGCCGTGCCTTGCGACGCCGGGAGGTGGTGGCTGGTGCGTCTGCAAATTAAGTTGGGCTATCAAAGATGGGTTTGCAAATTAGGGATTGGGTCTGCAAATTTGCGTTTTTTTTTTTTTTTTTTTTTTTTTTTTTTGGGGGGGGAAAAAAAAAATAAAGATTGAGTTAATTTCTACGAGAGATTTACAGTCAAATCTTATTTCAGGAGACGTTTGGTTAATGGATTAGAATCATGATATTAGAATAATTTTTTATTTACGTGTATTTTTTATGAGAAAAAATATTGTAGTGAATCATGAACCATAATTCGAATCGGGATACGAATCTCTCAACCAAACAACCCCTTAATCTCTAATTTTTTTAAACGCATATAGATAGTCTCTAAAATTTTATTTTTTTCATCGATTGTTGTTTCCTATTGTTTTTATTTTGAAATTAGTAATGTTTTTAAAATAATTTTATTTTTAGTACAAAAATAAAAAAATTAGATTGTTTTTAAACATTATTCTGGAACTGATTCTCATATTGTTTTAAAAAATTGTTTAGCTAAAGACCTGTTTAATTAGTTTTTTAAAAAATTATTTTAAATATAATAAAAAAATAAAATCGTATTTAGTTATATTTTTAAAATTTTATTTTGATTACATGTAATTAATAATCTTAAATTAATATATTAAGTAATTAATAATTGATAAACACTTAGCAAATAAAAAGTAATATAATAATAATAATAATAATAATAATGGATATATTATCTTATACTTAATGAATACATTGGTAATTAAACTATATATAATGAATTAGTATGTTAATAATTAAAAAATAGTAATTAATAATCAGTAATAAGTAATTATAATTATTATATTAGTAACATATTAATATTTATTAGTTTATAAGTAATTAATAAGTGTATTAAGAAAAAATGATTAGTATATAATAATATATTAATATTCTCTTTACTATTTAGATAATTAACTTTTAGTTACATAATTAAATAATTAGTTGATTAGTTACTAATATTTATTTAATAATCTATTATTTGATATATTGCATAATCAATTTTTAATAATTATTCTTTAAATGATGATCAATTATTAATTGTCAATTATTAATTATTATTGATTAGTATATTACATAATTAATAATATTAGTTTAATATTGATTATTAATTGAGTAATTACTATTTTTTATTTATCAACTATTTACTAATTAATAAATTATATGAAAATATATTAATATTTTATTTACTATTTAAATAATTAACTTTTACTTACATAATTAAATAATTAGTTTATTAGTTACTAATATTTATTTAATAATCTATTACTTTATATATTGCATGATTAATTTTTGATAATTATTCTTTAAATAATGATTAATTAAAAGTTGTTCATTATTAATTATTATTGATTAGTATATTATATAATTAATAATTATAATTTAATATTGATTATTAATTGTGTACTTTATATATTGCATGATTAATTTTTGATAATTATTCTTTAAATAATGATTAATTAAAAGTTGTTCATTATTAATTATTATTGATTAGTATATTATATAATTAATAATTATAATTTAATATTGATTATTAATTGTG